GGAAGAAAGGAAGGAAGGAAGAAGGAAGGAGAAGAAAGAGAGGAAAGAAGGAGGGAGGGAAGGAGGAAAGGGGAGAGGGGATGGGGGGAAGTGTTTGAACACACATTCTAGATGGATCAAAAATATTAAGTGGTATTCTGGGTTTTTTTTCCTAATTCTTGACAGCGGTGTCCAACAAAAAGAATGGAAGAGGCTTTCCTACTCAATCAAACTTCTGTAGTAACATATTTTCAACTTAGTGGTTTATCTTTAAATCAGAAGGTACAGATGGCAGTGTTTTCCATATTCCTCATGTTTTATGTTTTGACACTGATTGGAAACATCCTCATTGTCATAACGATCATCTATGACCGCCGGCTCCATACTCCCATGTATTTCTTCCTCAGCAATCTGTCCTTCATTGATGTCTGCCACTCCACTGTCACTGTCCCCAAGATGCTGAAAGATACCTGGTCAGCAGAGAAGCTCATCTCCTTTGATGCTTGTGTGACCCAGATGTTCTTCCTGCACCTTTTTGCCTGCACAGAGATCTTCCTTCTCACTGTCATGGCCTATGATCGGTATGTGGCCATTTGTAAACCCCTGCAGTACATGACAGTGATGAACTGGAAGGTATGTGTGCTGCTGGCTGTGGCCCTCTGGACAGGGGGCACCATCCACTCCATAGCCTTGACCTCCCTCATCATCAAACTGCCCTACTGCGGTCCTGATGAGATTGACAACTTCTTCTGTGACATACCTCAGCTGGTCAAACTGGCCTGCACTGACACTCGCATCATTGAGATCCTCATAGTCTCCAACAGTGGGCTGATCTCTGTGGTCTGTTTTGTGGTCCTTGTCATTTCCTACGCTGTCATCCTGGTGAGTCTGAGGCAGCAGATCTCCGAGGGCAGGCGGAAGGCCCTGTCCACCTGTGCAGCCCACCTCACCGTGGTCACACTGTTCCTGGGACACTGCATCTTCATCTATTCCCGCCCGTCCACTAGCCTCCCAGAGGACAAGGTGGTGTCTGTGTTTTTCACTGCTGTCACCCCTTTGCTGAACCCCATCATCTACACTCTTAGGAATGAAGATATGAAGAATGCCTTGAACAAGTTGATGGGCAGGAAGGAGAAGAAAAACAAAAAATTAAAAAGTATAGGCCATTAGGATGCTTGGTGCTCCAAATCAAAGAAATGCCTGGCAAAGAATGAATTATAACCGTATTCATCACACTATGTGAAATATAAAATTATCCTCTGGTTTAATATCTAACAATCACAGCAATAACTATGGTTACAAATACCTTTCATATGCTGCTAATGTTCTAGGCTCTGTGCATTTACCTAATTCTTACAAAAATCTTGGAAGGTGAATATTATGCTTAGTCATATATGAGAAAACTGAAGCCATAAGACAGCAAATAGAACACTTAAAGTCACCCATCTTGGACAGGATTTAAGCGGAGTAAAGTATGTAGCTCAGTGGTAGAGCTTGTGCTTAGCATGCTCAGTGGCTTGGGTTTGAGCCTCAGCACTGTTTAAAAAAAGATAGGATGTGAATGAACCCACGCATATCAACCAAATGAAAGCTATCTTCATTACATCATATCGCCTTTCCTGCTTTTCTGTTAGGGTGACAACCAAGGTGGAAACAACCCTTCTGATTTCTAGGTATCATTCACTCAGATATTTGCCTAAACAGCAATAGCTGAACAAGCACTAGTGAATCAGAGAGTGTGTGTTTGCGTGGGACTTTGGTAACTGGGGAAGACTTTGAACCATTAAAGTTATTAATACTATCAAGTGTCTTGCAGAATCTGCCATCATAGCAATGCAATGGGAATGTTTTATTATTCAGTAATTTAACAAATATTTACTCAGTACCTAATTTGTGCTAGATACCAATTTTAGAGTTACAAATAGAACCTACATGTAGTCCCCTCTTCATTGAGCTTAGAGTCTAGTGAAAAAAGAAAATAAAAATATGAATGAAATTTAATTATAGATATAATAAATGTTAGAATTTCATTGGAGTGCTTGAAAGACTGTCTTAGATGGAGTGGCCAGGGAAAGAAGGTTACATTGAAGCTGATATGTGCAAGACCAAAAGGAGCCAGCCATGAGAAAAGAAAGGTGATGAACCTCCAAGCAGAGGAAACAGTAGATACCACATCCTTTGGGGGAAAGACCACAGCTTATTCCAACAAGTGAAAAATCAAGGTGCTTACTTCTTCAACCCTATGGCACAGAGGAAAAGTGATATTGGAGAAATAACAAAACATCCTATCATGACTTCTCAAGGTGTGTAGAAGCTTTTCCAGTATAACGGGCTCCAGTGATGTAACCAGAGAAATGGCATGACCTATCACCCAATGTTGGTCTAAGAGCTGGGAGAAAGCAACAACTTGAATAAAATGTAGTCTATAACCCCGTGCCTAGAAGTCAGTTGAGTTTAGTGGTAGCAGAGCAGATATTCTGAGTGGACTGGGAATATGGAAAGGGAGTGGAGTCTCATACATGTAATTACAAAAGAGCATGGTATGTTGGGAATCAACTGTTCACTCTCACTCCATCAGTGAGACCATCACAGAGTTCCCCTGGGATTTCCTGAGCCATCAGCGAGGATATAATCAATAAATCTCTAGGCCAAAAAATCATCTCTATTTTTAGTGGTATTTTTGCCAGAAAATGTGTTGAGAAGGAAACTCCAGCTACACAAGCCGTTTCCATGACATTGAGACCTGGGTAGGAAGGCATCCTGGAGGGCTCTTCAGGTAGCACAAGAATATTTCCAACAGTCACATCTAATAATTAAGAGAGTAGGCTTTTGTTAAAGATCATCCTCTAGAGAGTGTAAAACTTTCATTTGTACTGGTTGATGGAATATGAGACAAATTTGAGAAGTACAGGATTTGCATAAGATACATGCTCTCTCATTATAGGCAATGGAAAACAATAAGGAGATGTAACTTTCCAAGGAGTCCAAACAGAAGCACTTAGTGCAGGAACCAGCCACACAGAGGAAAGAAACAACATGACAGATGAGATAATGCTGGTGGTTGTTAAGGCTGCAGCTGGTAAAACTGTGACAAAAAGATGTCATGTTTGCTTATTGTTTTCAAAGCAAGCAAAATTTCTAACACAGTTGCATTAACCTTCACACCTCTCTGGGAAGATAAAATACAGCATTTATTCTCCACCTCTCAGAATGTATTTTAGACTCTAGACAACATTTAAAATGTCCTTGATTAATCATTGAATAAAGAGTAAAGAATAAAATGAAAATATCTTGACTCTTGGTTCTGTAGTTGACTTTTCAAAAGAGAGATAGAGTCATTATTTATCAATATAAAGGTTTGGGCTGTAGGTATAGCTCAACAGCATAAGCGCTTGCCTGGCAAGCCTAAGGTCATGAGTTCCATTCACGGTACCAAAAAAGTTTGTTCAGCAACTTTTTATTCAATAGTTGAATTCATCAGGCTATAACTATCTTTATGAAATATAGTAACTAGTATGCCTTTCATACAAATAAACAAATAAAGCACTGGGAATTTATTTTTGCATGAAAGATATTAATGAGTATGAATATCTGTCCATGTATAAGTCCAGAATGTAAAGCATAAGAGGTTTCTCTTCTAATGTATATCTTCATAGTGATATCTGGACTTTACTTCATAGAGATATATGAAATGCTTATTTCACTTGAGTTTCTATGAGAATTATAAGGCATTGACAATATTCTACACTTGTTTGTCAATTTACCAAGTATTAATTTTTTATGAGTTTCTCCTGGTTTAATTAATAGATTCATTTGATTTTTTGTCCTTTTGAGTACTTTCTGTCATTTCAGTTATTTATAGGCTTTGAATTAGAGTTAGTGTCTACAGCCACACCACCCTGAACACACCCATCTCGTCTGAGTTAGAGTTAGTAGGTCAATTGTTCTGTATTGCACATGCCTTCTACTAAATACTGTCCTTGAGGACCTAGTCAGAAAAAGAAAAGAAAAAAAATCAATGTCATAAAGACTTGAAAGGAAGAGGTAAAACTATCTTTATTTACAGAGGACATCACTGTGAATGTAAAAACTCATAGAAAGGCAGAGGGCGTAGCTCAATGGTAGGGTGCTAGCTGAGCACGTGCGAGGCCCTGGGTTCCAGCTCCTATCTCCAACACTGCGAAAAAGGGTGAGGTGTAAAAAGTTCAAAAATCTAACAGAATATATAAGTGAATTTAGCAATATCATAGGAGTAAAGATAATGCATATAAATGAATTGTATTTCTGTATATTGCCAATAAACAATTGAAATTAATAATAGCATCAAAAAGCATAGGATGGTTGGGGACAATTTTAATGAAATATGTCTGATTATGAAAGAAAATGACAAACACTGCTGAGAGAAATTAAAGAATGCTTAAATAAAGGGGTAGATGAACAGTCATGAATAGAAGATTGAACACTGGTGAGATAATTCTCTCTCAGACTGATCTGGAGATACAATGAAATCTCAATCTAAGTTCTAGTAATCTCCTTTGTAGAAATAGGCATTTCTAAAATGTATATTATAATGCAAAGTACTTGAAGTAGCAAAACAGTTTTGAAAAAAGCATGACAATTCTTAATATATCATTTCAAGACCATTATAAAGCTAAGACAACCAAGACAATCTGGTAGAGGCATAAGTTTACATGTCAGAATAAAAGATCAAAAAATAACTTCTCACTTGGGGAATTTATTTTCAACAAAAGTGTTAAGGTAATTCAACAGAGAAAGGTACTGAATCAAGTACATAGACTGAAAACTGAATCTCAACCTTTATTTCACACTTTATATAAAAAGTAAAAATCCTGGTGGGTTTGTTCCCTTGTACCACAAAAAATAAATATAAAGTAAACTAGTTGCATTGATACTACTAGTTTCTCTTAGTTCATTGAAAAAAAGTTTTGTAATATTGTCTGTTTCTTCTTTGTAAGAGAGAATTTTTTGTCTTTAAGTAACTAGTTTGAAGAAAATTATATATAATTTATTAAATATTATTCTCTTACTAACCTGTTATGAAATTTTGTGGGTTTTTTCATAAAATAAAAAAGCAAACTCAGAATGGATCATACACCTACAATTCAAAGCTAAAACTATAAAATTTCTAGGCTAAAGCAGAAAATATTTTATTGGATTTAGCCAAAGATTTCTTAAGACACAAAAAGCATCAACCATTAAAAAAAAATTGTAATTTGGATTTGATCAAAAGTTTAGCCAGGCATAGTGGCACACACCTGTAATCTCAGCACTCAGGAGGCTGAGGTAGGAGGATCTCTGCAAGTTCAGGGCCAGCCTGGCCTACATAGTGTAGAAGTTCAATCTACAATCTAGAAGTTGAACATAGTGTAGTGTTCAATCTTTAATAACAGCCTGAACTACATAGTGAGACTCTGTCTCAGAAAAAAAAATTTATTAAATATATGTTCTTTTGCTTTCCAAACTATACTATTGAGAAAATGAAATTGCAAGGCATGGAATAAGAAAAATATGGACAAGACACATGTTCAACAAAGGTCTTATATCTAGAATATATGTCCTAGAAAAAATAAAAAGCCACAACCTAATAATAAATAAAATCTTTAAACAGACACATCACAAAACAAGATTTATGATGGGATAATAAACAACTGAAGCTTAATATTATCAGTCATTAGGGAAATGCAAGTTGAAACCACATACTTACTAAAATGCCTAAAATTAAAAACAAATTATTAAATGTAAAACTCTCATAATTCTGATTATGAGAGTATAAAATCATACAGCCACTTTGAAAAAACAGTCTTGTAGTTTTTACAAAATTAAGCATGCATTATTATGTAATCCAACTCTCTCCCTAGATTTTTTACCCGAGTCGTAAAAATGCATGTCCAAAATAATCTGCATATTAATGTTTATAGCTATTTTACACATAATTGTCAAAACTAGAAACATTCAAATGCCTATCAATACATAAAGGAATAAACAATTTGTAGATATATGAAATATATATATCCATATAATGAAATGTTCCTCAATAATAAAAAGAAATGAATAACCAATATCCACAAAAATACAGATTACTCCTCAGAATCGGTAAGCACAGCAAAAGAAACCAGGTATAGCAGAGCACATACTATATGATTCAATACATGTGAAACTCTGGAAAAGACCATTCTTGCCTATACTGGCAAAAGTGAGCTCTTTGAATGCTCACATGGAAATGGAGGGATTAACTGGGAAGTGATTGACTCAAGCTACGTGTGATGATCAAAACGTTCTGTATCCTGATTATCAAAGTGGCTACACACATAGGTATGTGGGTGCCTTTGTCAAAACTTATTAAAAGTATACAATTAGAAAGGGGTGAATCATAAATAAATAAATAAATAAATAGGGAGCATCCTATGTAACATAAATTTTACTTTAATACATTTATTCTTTTATTTGTGGTGTCAGGAATCAAACTCAGGACCTTGCACTTGCCAGGCAGGTGCTGTATCCCCGGCCCCAATTTATTCTTTAAATAAATTCTTTACATGGTAGACTGCTTACCTAGCATGTGCAAGGCCTTGGGTTCAATCCTTAGCTAAAAAGATAAATAAATCACCTTGATTTCATCAAAATTAAAGGATATAAAAACATATTAACAACTAGATCTGGACATAATAGAAGAATCCTATTCAAAACCAACAGAGCATAACTGAGTATAAAGAAAGTTATCAAAATTATGTTCAAAAGCAATACTGTAATCAGCACAGGATGTAAAACAGGTATGAGGTATAGCTTCCCAAATGCAATAATCTACAGCACAGTGTAAATCAAGAGGCAGCTCCTCACAAATGCACCTGTTCACAAATCTGAAACAAAACTGACTTCCCCAAATTGTATTCCTCTATTAGGAGAGCCAGAAGCCTTCTTTAAACATTTTTGGGCCTTTTTTCCTTACATGTTCCACTAAACTCTGTTCCCTTATTTAAATAATAGTTAACAAGTTTCTCTCTAATGCAGAAGTCTTCCCTACCCCTTGCCATTTCACCTAATGAATTTGATTCTTTAGCTTTGCTTTCTCCTGGGGGATATGGCCACAGTAATGCTTATCACTCTAAGGCTCATCATGTGTATGATTTTATGAGAAAGCTTGTCTCTGCCTGAGCTGCTTCATAGCACTCTTTACTTCCTCATTCCTCAAGGTATAAATGAAAGGGTTCAGCAGAGGGGTGACCACTGTGTAGAAGACAGACACCACCTTGTCAATGGAGAAGCTGGTGTCTGCCCGTGTGTAAATGAAGATACATGGCCCAAAGAAGAGGGCAACCACCATGAAGTGGGCTGAGCAGGTAGACAGGGCTTTCCTGCGCCCTTCAGCTGACTGTGTGCGGAGAGAAACCAGGATGACAGTGTAGGAAGCAACCAAGGCCAAGAAACAGGTAAGGGAGATGGTTCCACTGTTGGACACAATCAGCATCCCTATGAGGTATGTGTCAGTGCAGGCGAGCTTGATGACGGAAGGCACATCACAGAAGTAGCTGTCAATAATGTTGGGGCCACAGTAGGGTAGATCAGTGGTTAAGAAGGTCTGCACTAATGAGTGAACAGCAGCCCCAAGCCAGAGCGCAAATACAAGCTGTACACAGACCCGCATTTTCATCACACTGGGGTAGTGTAATGGAGTACAGATGGCCACATAACGATCATATGCCATAACGGTCAGCAGAAAGATCTCGGCACAGGCAAAGAGATGAAGGAAGAACAGCTGTGCGATGCAGTTGTTAAAGGATATGGTCTTTCTCTCTAAAAGCAAACCTTCCAGCATCTTGGGCACAGTGACTGATGAGTGGCAAATGTCAATGAAAGACAGATTGCTCAGGAAGAAGTACATGGGCGTGTGGAGACATGCAGTAAGCACTACGCTAGCAACGATGAGAATGTTCCCCAGAAGTGTAAGCATATACGTGACTGAGAACGCCATGAAAAACAGTCTCCCCAGCACCCAGTTATCACTGAGTCCCAAGAAGACAAATTCAGTCACTCTTGTTTGGTTGAGAGCGTCCATCCAGTGTGCTTTCCAAAGAACCTAGGGGGAATAAAAGTTAATTTAGCTGTAATGATATAAGAATGAAATTAACCAAAGTGACTTTGGATTCCTATCTGAAGTGCTTATTATAAAGGCTTATAAGAGGTAAGAGTAACTTAGCCAGAATCGTCACAACATACCACGACATACCTAGAGCCAGGCCAAGCACTCCGGGCACACCATCCAATTTCATCACAGCCACACGGTGTCGGGGCATAACAGTGCCAGTCGTTCAGGTCAGTGAGCCTTGGAATAAATGAATTGCCCAAAACACCCATTCGTTACCTGGTTCTTTTCAAGGTGGACTGTTCCACTGGTATCATCAAATATTCCAGAAATCCCCAACTAAACCTCTCAATAGCAGGCTAAATCTCCCAACTAAATATATTGCTATCAAATTAAATGCACGTTCAAAACCTACAGCCACGCTCTCTCATTTTTCTCCCTGTGGAGCCCTTTCATTTTCTCCGCATTCTTCTCTCCAGCCACGCAATTCACTGTGCTCCAGGCAGGCTACTTCCGCCTGCCTATTTGGCATAGTGATAAATAGGTATCTTTATTTGCCATTTTCCTACATCTTGGAAAACTCATCCTTTAAACAAGTGTGTTCTCACTTTATCACTGGCAATTAAAATGCTATTCATCCTTCACTTTACCTCTGACTGTCTCAAAGAGCGCTGCCTTTAAGAAAACTTTGCTGAGGCTATCAAAACTTACCTCTTTCTTGTCATATTTCTTTTGTGGTACTTAACTGTAAAATAACAGGTTTATTTTTGCTCCCCTACTAAATTAAAATTTTCTTTAAAAGTAATAACCACATATGACTTACTCCTTATGGCACTTAGCAGGTGGCTTGCACAGAGCAGATATGGAAAAAATAATTTTATTGGAATCCAAACTACATTCTTAGGTAGCCTAAAAAAAAAAAAAAAAAAAAGTAAACTTTCCTTCACAGAGGCAATAATAAGTTACTTTAAAAACTCAATTGTTTTAATTCTGTAATATGATTTGTTCCCTAGGAGATATTGCTGCACAAATACTAAAGATATATTGCCCTTAATTTTCTAGACTGGTTGGTTGACCAAATGCTAAAAAAGTTTGGGAAATATCATCACAAATCACAAAAACAGAGCATTTTGATTATTATTTCATTTGTAGGATCCACTAAAGCATCTAAACTATGGGAAAACTAAAAACAAGGAAATATTAATTATGGTATTATTTTAAACAGCCTCACAGTGACAGGTTTTGTTTGTTTGTTTGCTTGTTTGTATCTGGGAGCTTGAATGAATGTAGAGGAATTGACTACAATTGTTTGCAGCTATTAGGAATGATAATGACAAAAGATTAGCTTTGTATGTCTATATGTGTTTTCATGAGAAACTACATTGAAGATATCAATATGTAATACAATAAGCATTGTTAATTCCCTACCACTCTGTTTGTAACTCTGTAATGTCTGTACTGATCCTTTGCTATTTTGTAAAACGTTGTTGATCTGTTAGTATTTTCCTCCTTTTATTTCTAAAATAAAAAAAAAGATTACCAATGAAAAGTATTGAAATATAGTACATAAAGATTTAATAATATATTCTTAACAATTTGAAATATGTGTAGTGTTATATAAGTTATCAAAAGACAAATAGCTTGCTAGAAGAAAATTATTATAACACATACGACCAAAAAGGGAGAATATTCCTTTAGTCAAAGTTCTCTTAAATTTGATCTATGCTCTACTTTTTCTTTTTTTTTTTTTTTCCTCCGGTACCGGGAACTGAACTCACAACTTTGCGCATGCCAGGCAGGCGCTTTTGCCGCTGAGCTAAATCCCCAGCTCTCTTAAATTTGAAAGGAAAAGACAAATGACTCAACTGAAAATGGCAAAGAATATAAACAGGAAAATCTAGGAAAAGAAATGTAAATGGGTAACAAGTATGAATAAAAATATGTACAATTTCAGCAATAGATGAAAAAGAGAATCAAATGCATTTCACTTTCCATTGCATTCACAAAAGTACAAAGAATGGAGTACTTTTTGTTTGTTTTTCATTTTGAGAGAGTCTCACTTTGTAGCACAGGCTGATCCTCCTGCCTCAGCCTCCCAAGTGCACCATCACACCTAGCTGAACTTTTTAGAAAATAATCTGGCAGTACCAAAAGATTTAAATGTTCATTCTTCTAAATCAAGGAATCCGCTTCTAGGACTGTATTCCATAGAAATAAAGAAGCAAGTAACTAAGGATGCATGTTTGTTGAAGCATTTTTAGTAAGACAAAATGAAGCCCTATCAATAGAGGAATTAAATAAATTAAATTAATTTAATATAGCCACAGTATGGATACTATGTAACCATTAAGAAGAACGAGTTGGATCCATATTAACCTAAAGCAGGTTAATGGCTGCTACATCATTAAAAAGTAGAACCATCTAGGGAAATTTTATAAATTTTGATGTCCAGAGCTCACTCCAAACAATTCATTCAAAATCCCTGGAAGCTGAACCCATCAGTACTGTTAATTAATTACTGCTCAGCAATTCCAAGGTTCAGTTATAATAAATTACTGACTTCAAGGAAAGTCAATAATACATTAAGTGAAAAGAGCCAGTTATGAATATATTATGAAAGAAATATATTCATTCCTTGAAGCAAAGAAGAAAGAAAGGAAGGGAGGAATAAAGGGATGTACGAAAAAAAGGACAAAGGAAGGAAGAAATCAGTACATAGATTATCTGCCCGGTTGCCAACCAAAACATGGACAGAAGTCTGTAAAAGGAAAGGTGCCTTGGGCCTCAGAGATGAGCACTGTTTAGGATAAAAACCAAATGATGTCCTCATCTGTGCATGTACAGAGTCCTCGACGACACACTCCCACATGTCTCGGGGATGTAGTCATGTTACGGCCCAGAGCGACACTGGGTAGGGAAGCCCAGGAAGACTCAGTGAGCTACTACTTCTCCAGAACAGCCCAAATCTGATCATTATGCTGGCTTTCAAAGCACAGCAAACACAGGTTTTCAGGTAATAGGAAAGCTGCCCTGCTTAGACCAACGAGCAGTGAAAGAGATGTAGCCTTTCTTTAGAAGACTGTGTCACACTCAGCATCCACGTAATAAACTAAGTTCGAGGCATCATGCTGGGGATTCACACATAAAGAGACATAGGAAAGGAGCAATCTTGATCTGTCTGATCCCAAAATTTCATACTCCAATAGCGTTTTCAATTACTAAGAAAGGAAACAGGTGTAAAAACCTAAAAGGCAACAAGTCATAATCCCAGGCAATTTGACAAATCCCAGCATGTGTGCCTTTATATCTGATGTGTGTGTGTGTGTGTGTGTGTGTGTGTGCGCGCGCGCGCGCGCACACGTGAATGTGTGTAGGAAGATAGGTAGGTACCTTCATAGAAAGTGATATATTTTAAAAACATGATAGTGACGATGAAAGAGAGGTTAAAACGAGGCTAAACTAATCCTAAAGCCCTTCTACTGAACTTCTAAATACACATGCAACGTATCAGATAAGTGGCATGTAATCGTGGACATGTGCAGATCCTAAAAGCATAGCAAGCGATGCCAGTAAAGAAATGGAGAAACTTACCAATTTACTCGAATTCAAAGGTATTATTTAGTTAATTGTTAAGATACCAGTGTAAGCTTCTTTTATTCACTTTTTTCATAATTCTTTCTAAAAACAAAGCATAAGAAGTAGTAAAATAAATTTTAAAAAATAAAGTACACCCTGATTTATGTGTTAATAACTGATCTCCTTCTGAATAGTTTCACCTCTGTAATGTCAATCCCTGGATGTTTCAATTGTTTTCCTTCTCTGCAAATTTTGACTTGCCCTTTTGAAATTTTTGCCATTGCCCAGGGATATATCTCAGTGGCATAAGCACCTGCCTGGCAAGTGCAAGTTCTTGACTTCACTTCCCAGTACCAAAAAAAAAAAAGAAAGAAAGTAAAAAAGACATTTTTGCCATTACCACTTTAATCTGTTACTCAAATGTCAGTCATTTATTCAACAAATAATTTTCATTGAAGAAAAGCACTTATTTCTAGGCAATCTAAGTAAATAGCATACGGTAGGGAAGTGATAAATGTGGTAAAGTTCAGGTACATAGGAAAATCATTTTTCATTTATCACTCTCAGGAGAGAAACTTCCCTTAAGTATAGTATTATCTTCCCCTCTGTCTTTCTCAAAATCACCTTATATAAAAAAACAATAATCTGTTTATAAATGTGGGGGAAGAGGATAGATAGAGTCACCAAATCAAATCAATTGGTACAGTAGCTCTATTAAACTTTGGTTCTCTTTTAAAACCCAAAACAGTATTTTTCAATGTATAACTAGTAACATTTATTGCCAGACAGGAACTACTCGTCTTACCTTTTGAAAATAAATTTCCCAATTGACAATACCATCTCTTCCATACCACCTCTAATAATTCAGTTCTCTTCCACTATAGCAGTTGAACATGTAAAACCATAGCGTGCAAAATTCTGCACAGGGTAAATTTCAGGCTTGAATACATTGAGATTTTTATCTAACTGACATAGGATTTTGAAGTGATCGTTGCATGACAATAATTGAATTTTCCATCAATGAATACTCTGGGGTATTATTAAAAAGTTTCAAGTTTTAATGCATTTCCTGTTATTAGTCTTAGCAATCTAATCAATGGACAGTAAACCTAGCAGCCTCTAAGCATAGAAGAGCTCCAAACCTTTGGCAAATTAGCATGACATCACTTGGTGTAACCACTACACTAACCATTGTAATACACACCAGAGATTCAAACTCCATGGACAAGTGAAACTTCATTCTTGAATCCCAAGTAAATTAATGCCAAAGCAAAGATATCTGGATATCTGATGAGCACCTGGAATTTAGTTTCCAGAAAAAAACTGACTCAAAACTTTTTCATTTCCTTGAGCGAATACTCGAAGCAAAACATAATCATCATAATCTCCACACTTCA